TGTATGAGAGCTATAAAAAGTTTCACATGGAAAAATCTATTGATTATACTATAGATTGCATTGATATGAGGATGTACCTCATTCTGTGTCGTAATGAGGTTTGCACATTTCGGCTAGCAGCATCTTACAAGAAGATAAATGGTTCTTGGGAGATAAATTCTATGGATCAACCTCACACTTGCATTACCACCAATCTGATGTAGGACCATCGTCAAGGTTTATAATAGACTTGAATGAGATTTCACTGAGAAAACCTTAAGTACCATGGTTTTCCCCTAACATGACTAACATTACTATGAATTATGTGAAACTGTATATGTCACACAGAGGGAGAACTGACTCGGGATGTTTTTGCGTTTTTATCGCAAATGTTGCGGATAGCAAGAGTCTCCAGTGACTTTTCTTTTATCCAATAAAGGAAAGAGTGAAAAGAACAGGAAAGACCTTTCGAGATATTTTCTTGAGTTCAGGGGGTAGGTTATGAAAAGGGAGGTATTAACACCCTTTTCATCCATAGTTATCTACGAGCTCTTAGTTGTTTGATAGATCACTTTGAAAAATGCTTTGTTTGAAATGTGTTTGTGGTGGGTTTTTGAAAGTATTTTTGAAAACGCCTTTGTTTCGGCAAACTTTGTAATGATTCTCGTCTATATAAGAATGTATACAAAGTGTTGGTTTTGAAAATAGTTCAAAGAGATGTTTGTTTTTTTGAAGGGGTTTGAAAGTGTGAGTGCAGAAATAGTTTTAGTTTATGAGCAAGCAACTATGAGTGTCCTACCTACTCAAAAGGTATTTCTTCTTTTCCTCTTCCTTTAGATGTTACTATCTTACCATTGATTGGTAAGAAGTCCCGTCATTGAATGTGAAGGGACGGACGTGGGTCAATCGTATAGTCATAGAAGGAAATTTATGAGACGTTTTAGCAATTTTCGTAAGGGACTAGATCGTTTACCAAAGACAATATCGAGGGACATCGAGAGACTAGATCTTTTTTTATCGAGGGTCTTTGCTAAAACGTCTATATTCGAGGGACATGACTTATATATGAAAAATATTAAATAGGTCGATTTATATATATATATATCAGTTTATAAAATTTCATAGATTTTTTTAATAACTTAAGTTTAAATTATTTAATTAAATAAATTTTTTTTAAAAAATAAATCTAATTTTTTTAATAAATAAATCTAATCTGACTCGATCTTAAATAAATTAGGTCATAAATTCCTCTAAACCAACATAATCTATTTCCACCTTTATTTGTCATCAATTTTTAATCACATCATTAAAATTACACATCATCACATTTTTGATTAAATATAAAAAGAGAATCAAAATTGTTTAAGAATAAATTAGAAAAACTGAAATTTAATCTAATATTAAATATATCAATCAAAGTTTTTTATTGAATTATAAGTTATTAAATCAAATTTATTTAAAATAATATTTTTCAGTATTTAAATTTGAATTTGAGAGTGATAAATATTTAACAATACGTTTTCTTTTTGACAATAATAAACTCATTTATTGAAAAATGTTATATATAATTATTTTTTTGTTGTTAGTGTAATTTAACTATTTAAATTTAAAATAAATCATTTAACTAATATTGTATATATCATTAAAAAAAATTGTTTATTTATGATGGTACAACTAATTAATAATTTTTATTATTAGTTTAATAATAATAAAATTATCTTAATTAATTGTAAATAACTATTTACTTCAACCCAATTTTTCTAAGTTTTTAATTTGATAACATGTGTTTAAAAGCACATCTTAACTAAATTCAGCCTATTATCCTATTTATTTGTTATTAATTTAATTAAACACAAAATGATAATATGATCATGAAAATAAATGTATAGCTTGAAAAAGAAATTGTGACTATGACACGTTGCTATTGATCCATTTAGGTGAAGTTTAAAACATGAAAGTAGGGGCCAACTTTCATCTCATTAGCCATGGTTTTTTTTGTCATAGGGTTATAGGTATTAGGGGCTATGGCTATGGCTATTTTGTTTCCAATAAGGCAAATCTATGAACCTATTATCTATGAGGCTATAAGAGTTAGGGTAGGTTGTCATCATGCCCTATATGTAGATTCTAAAGTCTGTAAGATCTAATCTAGATTACAGTATGGTCCTCCATTTATTCTATCTCCTTTTCATTTTTGTTTTTGTTTTTATTTTCATCATAGAGATGATGCATGCCAAACTTGATGGTATCCGAAATAAAAACTCATTCATAAAATATAATTATATACAGTCATTTAAATTACAATTAAATAGTATAAAGTTATATTAATATTATAAAAATTTAATATTTGTTAAAAAATATATCAATCAAAAGCGCCGGAGAAAATATCGTATGTTTTTAAATATATAAATCAGATGTCATATGCATTGATATGCCAATAATGTATATGCCGGAGACAATAACACATGAATTAAATTTTAAATGCAAAAGTTAGATAGAGATACACAATTTTTTGCACAATTGTTTTTTAATATTTAAAATATAATTATTTTGATTGAATAATTGAAAACGTTGATTATTTGAGTATTTTATCTGGAAAAAATAGTAACTTATACTTTGTAAAGAAAAGAATAAAATGAAATTGGCAATTGGTTTTATATACAATTATTATATACAGTACTCTAGACAATATATAAGTAAAAAGTATATTTTTTATTTTAATTTTTAATTGGATACTTCCTTCCGTTCCAATATAAAATAAAACAAAAACCATGTTTATTAAGAAAAATAAAATATAATTGTTTAAGTTAAGATTTTTTATATTTTTAATTTTTTATATAAAAAGATGTAAATATTATTTTAATTAATTATTAGTGATATAAACTAAAAAAGTAAACATAATAGTGTTTGCAGTTAATTTCATCTTAAAAGAATAAAAGTTAAATATTTTTTATCTTTACATTCTACTTTTATATATTATCAAGAGAAAGATAAAATAAATACTTTTTAACATATTACTAACATGTATGAAATATTATATATATTATTTTAAACAAAATTTAATTTTTTTAATATATGAATATTTGCGAAAACCACATAATTAAATTTAATTAAACAAAAAATAAAGAAGTATACTCTACACTCCTCCACCGATTAACATTCTCAGTTATTATTATATTTCTTTTGTTTTAAAATGAGCGTTATTTAAAGTTTTCGTAACAAATTATAAAATATAATAATAGTATTCTAAAATATTATAATTTTATTAAATTAATTATTAATATATTAAAAATAGTGTACATAGTAATAATTAAATGATATAATTAAAAAATAATAATTATTTCTATATTGAAAATTAAAAATGATATTTATTTTAAAATAATATTTTTAAAGCGAAATTCATTTTAAAATAGAAGGAGTAATATTATACTGCAAATTTAATTATATCTAAAAAAACAAGTTTTCTTTTTATTATAAATAATAATGAAATATATTTAATTGTCTTGATATTATGTAAAAAAATTAACATATTTATTAATTTAGCATTAATTGAATTATCCTCTATTAATAATATTAAGTAACTTAATATAAATAATTTTAAAATAAAAATATTAACTATGTTTAAATTTGTTGACTTTTATTATATTTAAGATTAAATTTTTTAAAACACTTTTGTTTATAAATAAAGTTAAAACAGGTTCTTGGTAAGAAGCACTATGGTTCGATCCCTGCCATTGTGATTGTGAGGAGATTGGAATCACTTGATATTATAATTGATCTTTAAATCGAACTATGTTAGTGGTGATAAATATTTTAAAAAAAAACTCGTACTAATCAATTGGGTTCTAGTGGAAAAAAAAGCAGCAAATCGTTTGGGTACTATCTGAGTTAAAACTCTAATAAAAAAATGTGATTTGATTTATTCTGATTGACTTTTAAAAATAAAATCAAACCAAATCAATGTGGTTTGAGTTGATTCCATTGATTTAGTTTTTTATAAGATTCTTTTATTAATATTTTTTATAAGATTTTTATTGAGTCATATATACAAATATTAAGAAGTCAACATAATTTTGTGTTTAATCATTCATACATTATCAAATGACAATAAGTTTCATCATATTTAGACAATTACTCTATTTGATAAAATTAGCTGATAGTTGGTAACTTATAGCTGATAGCTGATAGTTGATAATTTATAACTTATGACTGATAACTTATAAATAAAAATTAATTGTTTCATTAACTGATAAATACAAAATAACATAAATATCATTTTAATTAATAAGAGTAATAATATATTTTTATTAAAATAATAAGAATATAAATGAAAGAAAAAATCACAAACAAAAAGCTACAAGTTCAAAAACTATTTCAAATAGCTTTTGAAAAAAAACTAAAAGTTAAAATCAAATTATAAAATAGAGATTTTTCATTAATGTGAGTTAAAAAATTAAAAATTAAAAATTATTTTTTGAGTTTTACCAAATATACTCAACAACTTCTCATTTAATATATAAAAATCAAATTAAAAAAATTAAAAAACACAATTTAATTTACAAAATAGAAATCACAAGCTAAATTAAATCTCTAAAAAATAATTCAAACACAATTTTTTTACGGTTTTCAATTTTATTTGATTCGTTAATACTGTAATTTTATATTGGGATGATTTAATTTTGAACATCCATATAATTTTTTAAAATTGTTTAACATAATCAAAATAAAAAATCCAATTATATAATTTGATTTATCTAAAATTATAATTTTTGTAAATGTTTTAATTATTAAATCGAAATTTGTAAAGAGATTGATTTGTTAGAATATAAAATGAGCGCATCAAATTCCAATAATAAATAACTAGTTCACCTTGGTGTCTTAATTATAAAGAAAAAAACAGAGAATATGCAAGTAGAGATTTGAGTGTCAGAATTCAAACCTATAGCAGCAATCTATTTCTGTTCCAAAATCTCCACATTCTAAACACAAACCTCAAACCTCAAACAACAACAATCTCAAACATGTTTGGTTTAAGAGACTTGGTTCTCATTGCTCAAACCCCTTCATCACTTCACCAACCCATTTCATCTGATCATCCTCCTAACCTTTCTTTACCTTCCTCGTCACCTCTAAGTGTTGGTCTTGGAATTTTCCCACTCCTAACCACCACTCACCCTCACATTGATCATAATAATAATCAAGACTCAAACTTTTGGAATCTCAAGATGTGTCAACCACAACAAGTGATGATGGTGATGGATTCAACGAGAAAAGGGGTTGAAGAAAATGATGAAAAGATTCAGAATTTGATGATGGGTTGTGAGGAGAACGGCGAGTTTAGGGTGTGTCAGGATTGTGGAAACAGAGCTAAGAAAGATTGTAGCTTTAAGAGATGCAGGACTTGTTGTAAAGGTCGTGGGTTTGATTGTAGTACTCACGTGAAGAGCACGTGGACTCCGGCCTCGATGCGGCGGGACCGGAATGGAGCGGTGGTGGCTGAAGGTGGTGGTGACAGTGATGGTTCTTCTGGAAGTAAGAGGCAGAGGATTTTGATCGCATCATCATCACATGATAATTTTGCTGCTACCTCTCATAGTTCAAGCTCTAATGCTGCTACTACAAGAAGCTTAAGCTTGGATATCACTAGCTCTTGTCACCAAGGTAGTTTATTTTCATTTTCTGTTTCACCGGTCACGACACTGACACTGACACAGCGACACCAGTAATAATTTGAGATGTTTTGCAGATGTTGGTTTCAAGCAATCATTGCCAAGATATGTGACTGCACCTGCTGTTTTCAAGTGTCATAGAGTTTCCGGCATTGGCAATGGTGATGAAGATGAAATTGCTTACTTGGCTACTGTGAATATTAATGGGCATGTGTTCAAAGGGTTTGTTTATGATCAAGGTGTTGTGGATGGAAAAGATGAAACAATGGGTTGTGTTTCAGAATTGCAACTTGGAAGTAATGGAAGTGGGAAGAGTATTAATAGGGAATGTTCTTCTTCAATTCATGTTCCAACAACTAGTGCTTATCCTGCTTCTGCATGCTGAGGTTTCTTTAAGGTATCATGCATTGTCTTGTGTTTCATGTGTTGATCTTTTGGTTCTCTTTGGATTATGTATGGATGAAGATTTCAGAGTTCATGTTCTTGTTATGTATTTGAAATTTGATTTTGTGGAGTCCAATTATCAATAAATTTCAGCTGTCGGATTAAGATTAAATAGTTTGGGAAGTCTGAATATCAATAATTAGATTGAGATTAAACAATTTATATTATTATGTGATATGAAGTTTGATTTGGTGAAGTCAAATTATTGTCTATCTTAATTTTGATTCAAATGGTTGAGATTAATAACTGTATCTTTGGTTTTATATTTGGAGCATTTAAGAATTGATTTTGAAATGTTTGCCTAATCTTATAATTGATTTTGCTTAGTAAAATTGATTTAGAATTGATTCCACCTATTAGGATTTGGATTTGTATTTTCCACTCTTAACAAACTTTCGTCTCTTAACATTATTGCGTTAAGTGATGCTTTCAATGACGTTTTGAAAGCATAAACAGTAAATCATTAGCAAGAGTAAAGAACACGTGATATATCCTGGTTCACTTGAGAAACCCTCAAGCTAGTTCAGTCCACCCTACCAAGGTGATTTCGCCTTAAACTCAAGGACTTAATCCATAATAATCAAACTGATTACATCTTGCACAACCAACTGTGTGACTAACTACCACTAAGACTACCATCTTAGTCTTCTCAAAGCTTCTGACCTAACCGGTCCTTTGAGGAACATGTTACCTTCTAAAGCTTCTGACCTAACTGGTCCTTTATAAGAAACACAAAACCTTCTAAAGCTTCTGACCTAAGCGGTCCTTTAGAAGGAACAAACAACTGTTTGTTTTTACAAAGTTTATTTACAAGAGAATGCTTCTACACAAGCAAGTGTAAACTCAATTAAGTACATCAGAAGATACTAATACACACTAAGAATATTACATTGTATTTTATCTCAAATGTGTGGTCTTCTTTTCTTCAAGTAACTTCTTCACGGACAACAACCCAAAGCACTTGAATTGTTGAAGTCTTCTTCTTCATACGCTTCTGAAAACTTTGTTGATCTTGATGTAGTAAAGAGAAGAACTTCTATCTTGATTCACCTTAGAACATTATGGACAACAACCATTGTTCTATTTGATTCAATGATCACTTTAAAGCACAACAATCATGTTGTGGATTTGTAATTGGAGCTTCCGTGATCATCTTCATTATCTTCCGCAGCTTACCAAGCTTCTTGTAGTGTATGTAATTAAGCACATTGTGAATCAATGACTTCATTGTTATCTTGTAATCATCAAGAATATGATTCAAGAACTATTTGTTGTTGTTGTTGTTATACTGGTTGATAATTTTTGGTTGTGTTCTAACAATGACAACTTCCATTTGAACATTTGAACACCAATAACATTTTAAGCATATGATCATTTTCTTATACAACCAAACAAAATAGAGTCGTTGGCTATTGAAAAAGAGTCGTTACACAATTATGTAAATAGTATTGCCACGTCTTTTTCTTTTCCACAATTCAAGCTAGTGGAGAGGTAGTGGGATAAGGTTTTTTCGTACTATGTACTTGTCATTGCTAACGATAACATTTGTCTTCTGAACTTCAGAGGCTTCTGATGGTAGATGATTGAATCATGAGTAGAATCGTGACATTTGAATCTCCAGATAATCAAGTCTTCAGTCGTCAGAACTTGTTCACTCAGAACCTTGTCTTCGAACCTTCAGCACTTGGTCTTGATAACCTTTTCTAGAATCTTGGGTCTTTAGAACTTCAAGTCTTCAGAGTCTTCAGAACACCGTCTTCAGAATCTTAAGCACTTGGTCTTGAGAACCTTTTCTAGAACCTTGGGTCTTCAGAACTTCAAGTCTTTAGAGTCTTCAGAACTTCTGTCTTCAGAGTCTTCAGCACTTGGTCTTTAGAACCCTTTTCTTATAACCACGTGTCTTTAGAAATTAGAGTATTTAGCATCTGGACTTAAGTAGAACTTCTGTCTTCAGATCTTTTGACCGGTTTCTTTAGAACACGTTGTCTTCAGAAACATGAGTCTTTAGCATCTGGATTTAAGTAGAACTTTTGTCTTCAGATCTTTTGATTGGTTTCTGTAGAACACGTTATCTTCAGAAATATGAGTCTTTAGCATCTGGACTTAAGTAGAACTTCTACCTTCAGAGCTTCTGAATGGTTTCTTTAGACTTTATATCAGAGCCTACACTTCAGAGTCTTCTGGAGTGTCTTGTTACTGTTCATAAAAACTTATGTAGCGCAGAAGCGAAACTAATTCTCTTCTAATGTCTTGGCCACGCCATCCATCAAAAACAGAACTTGTTTGTTAAATACTAAAAAATAACAAACATTAGAGTATCAAAATTGTCATACAAACATACTCATTTGTTATCATCAAAACTCATAGATAATATTGCAGAACCAAATCTTGTTCTAACAATCTCCCCCCTTTTTAATGATGACAAAACTATGTATTTTGATGACACAATTTTGTTATATAATCATAAAAGTGAAAATAAAAAGAGTAAGAAACACTTATCCTTTTTATAAAACTCCCCCTGAGTCAAAGACTTGATGAAAACCAAATATCTTGACTCTGAACCATTTGAGTAGAACTCCCCCTGGTTCCAATAGATCAGTATCGAGCTCTTGAGAGTCTTGACTCTTGATACCAGTAGAACAAATTGAGATCTTGAATTCATCAAAGCTTCTTCTTATTGAATCTTCTATCCATATTTTTCAGATAGTCTTCAACTTCTGATTTCGCTCAGTTCTTCTGGAAAGCATCTGCTTCTACTTTTGATTCTTATGTTCTGAATGTCGCGTTCTCAGACATTTTCCATCTTTTGAATATTATGATACCAAAATTAAGATGACTTTAACTTTCAGAAAGTTCTCAACTTTTGAACAGTATTGGGTCTATCTGATTCTTGAACATATGTTCATAAAGTGTACATCTTCGATTATATGAACAATCAGTTCTTAAGAACTTTAACAAAGTTCTTTCATTTTGACATGTCTTAGAATGCCTAGTGAACTTGTTCAGAGTTTCTTGATTAATCATCAAACAAATAAACACACGTCAACGATAAATGCACATTTTATTATTATGATGAGTGTTGGATGGCATCTATAAGCTAATCCTCCTACCAACAATTTCCAAATGGCATCTGTAAGCCCATTCCCGACATCACAATGCTGATACTACACCATGCGAGTGCAAATTTTTGGGCACTCTAGTGTTCAATTATCTTCCACCTTCGGATCATGAAAGGCTCGAAAGCCAATCTATACCCTCAGGTTTAAGAAAATTGAACAGGGGCAACTGTTGTACCCCAAAATTTTCCCTCTCAATTCTCAAGGCTTTTCTCACAAAGATTCTCAGGATTTTAGCTTGCACAAGTGCATTGGGATTTTCCAGTACCAAAATTAAAAGGAAACTGTCAAAAAGGGAGAAAATAGATAAAAATAACATTTTGACAAATTTGGAGGAAAACAAGTCTCCTTCGATTCTACATCCTTCGATTGACTCTTGGCCTCTTTCGATTTCTCAAAGTGGCTGCTAGCGTGCCTCTTCGTCTGGGCATGTGACTTCTTGTTGCAGGTTTCGTTTGTGTCTTTTGCTGCCTGCATGCTTGCAATCGAAGGCCATGACCTACTGGTCACATGTACCCCCTGCAAGGCAAGTCTTCGTTTGGGCACTCACCTTCTGTGTGCCTGGATGAAAACTTCAGTTGAGCAAGAGCCTTCTTCGAATGCAACTTGGATTACATCCTTCGTTTTTAGCAAAAGCCTCTTTCGAATGCAACTTGGGAATACCCTTCAACTCAGAAGCCAGAAACTTCCCTCATGCTAAAAAAGACACAAGGAAATGACTCCTTTTATGTTTGTTTCGATCCACATGCTTCGATTGGGAAATATGCTTCCTTCGAGCATGAGCTTTCGATTTGGCAGTATGTTTTCTTCGATACAAGCTTCGACTGGGCATTAGCTTGTTTCAACCACAAGCTTCGACTGAGGGAAAGGCTTCATGTTGGTCTTCTTCAATTCAAAAGTCAATAATCTTCTAAAAGCTTCTTTTGATTCAGGGCCATTCGAAGAACACACAGTTATATTATTTTATCATTTATTTGCAAGGCTGGCTTTGGACAACATGTCCATTTTTTCTCTATAAATAGAGGAACATTTACAAAGCTAGGAGGATCTTTGGACCAGAGGAACGAATCTCCCAAATTTTCTCAAACACAACAAATCTCTCAAGTCCCTTCAACACTTGTGAGAACAAACCCAGAATCACATACTTACTTCCTTCGATTCTGAAGAACAAATACTCTTCAGTATCCTTCGAATCCAGTTTGGAAAGAAACATAAGACTTGTTTCTTTCCTTCCTTCGAATCCAGCATTCCAAGCACAACTGTTGGCCCCCTCTTTCAAATCCAGAATCCTGGGCCTCCACTCAAGGTCCCACATCCATTCAAGGCCTGAAGCAAGGTAAGTTATTCTTACCTTTGAACTTTTCGTTTCATAACATGTAAATACAATTCCTTTTCGTTTGAAACATTGTACATACCATTGTTCCTTTCGTTCCCACATTTTTAACATATTTTTCAGAGCTAACACTTTCGTTTTGCTTTCTGTTTACCTGAACTTGCTTTAACTATTAAACTGTTACAAGACAAATACTAGCATGGCCTCAGACCATGTTGCCATTTAATGCTTTAAATGAAAGAAACATGAAACAGGAAATAGGAAACGAAGCTTCTGGCTTCTACCCTCATTCTCCAGGTCAAACGAAAGAGACAACCAGGAGGAAAACCATGATGACTTCTAGGCCCAGACGAAAAGCATGCCTTCACTGATTCCAGGCTCAGTCGAAAGGCATTCCCTCACTGCTTCCAGACTCAATCGAAGAAGGCAACAAGGCAGAACCTTGGGCTTCACCACGCACTGGTTTCTAGGTCAATCGAAGGACAAGACCTC